TTATCCTTGACATATTAACATTAAAACAGCATAATTGTATATAAGGATTTTTGTTTGTTTTTTCCGTATATATTTTTCTTCACACTGTCGGATCTATATCCATATATTTGCTTTACATATATATTATATATATATATATATATATATATATATATATATATATATATATATATATATATATATATATATATGGGGGTGTATGTGTGTGTGTGTGTGTGTGTGTGTGCATAGAGAGTGATTGAAAAGTAACTACTTTTTTTAAAATACTTATGATTTATTTATTAACTAATAACTTTTACAAGAAATGAATATGAGATGAAAGTGTTAAGCATTGGGGTTTTATTTAAATTCAATATGGGTACAAGTTTTTGCTACCAGATTCTAAAGCTGACCAGAAATAGCGTTTCACCAGGAACTTTTGTGGGATAGAAAACCTAACTTTTTGTATTCCCTCCCCACTCCAAGTTCTTCCAAACTATTCGTTTGATATAGGAGACTTGCTCCTTTAACCAATTCCAAAGAAAAAGTCACAGTCTGTTGACTCAGGACTCCTGCCTGGCCATTCATACATGAAATAGGGAGTTACTGTTCTATCAGGCGATATCTATCTATCTATATATATATATATATATATATATATATATATATATATATATATATATATATATTTATAATTTGTTTAAAAACAGATCACTTTAAGGTTCCATGTAATAAGTTATTTCACCACGACCTTTGGAAGTAAAGTCTGATGATCCAGAGCCCTTTAAAGGGGTTGTGGTGAAATAATTTATCACATGGAACCTTAAAATGGTCCTTTTATTCAAACATATTTGCTCTGAATTTACATTGAGCTCTCTAGATATCATCCTCCTTGGGTCTACCTATTTTCATTACCTATATTTTATATATATATATATATATATATATATATATATATATATATATATATACTTTCTCTTTAAATATATATATATATTTACGCATCTGAGATAATCTCAATTTAAATATACTTAGATTTAAATTAAAATGTGTTTCCCTCACATTAGACATGATGTTAAAAATATTAAAATTAAATATATTTTTTGAAATTTAAACACTTAATTCACCACCTAACGGTAACTGTAAAATTTAAGTAAAAATTTAAATATGTATAAATATGGATGCATGTGGAGATATGTATATGTAAGTATTTGTATATGTATATGCATATATAGTGATGTATATCGATACATGTGTATGTGGTTATATGTGTAATTGCACATGTACATGAATGTATGTGTATGTATTTTTTACGTCAATATGTATGTGGTGTATGTATGACAAAACAGTATTTTTTTACTATTACCTTCAAATCTCACTCCATCTTGATTTGAAACCTAAACTTTAATTAAGAAATATTACCTAAAAATAGCTACAAATTAAATTCATGAATTAGACTCTAACTGATAAAGATTTTACCTTAACAGTCATTCACAATATCAAAATATTACTATTAGTAAATTTTTTATTTTTTTTATTATTGTTGTTTATTAATATAGTATTCGACTTATATTAAATCTCTAATTTATTGTTGGAGAAGTTGAATATTTAAATTGCTAACAAGCATTAAATTTATTTTTGTTTGTGGAGTTTTTAGACATTTAAATTACTATCAAACGTTAAAATCTGTTTTTATCTAAACTGCTAAAGCTCTACCACCCCTCTTCTTCCTCCAAAAACCCTACATACATCTCTTATCTCTTTACTTCCCCGCTTTTTCTTTTTCCCTTCTTTCTCCTGTTCCTTTTCCCATATCATTTCCGTTGAGTTGACCGATTAAATAAGTCAATGTCTGCTCCTTACCCCCTCCTTCCTCAATATTAAGTATTATAATAAAAAGAAATATAAAAATAAATTTTAGAACTCTCTTTTCCCTCTCTAAATACGACCATGTCTCTCATACCATCCTTCACCACCCTCTATGTCAACTTATATAAGCTTAATACTGCCCGTCAAAAGTGTAAATTTTAAATTCATTTTTCGTTTCACTTTTTGAAAGTGAAGTCTGAAGATCCAGAAAAAAATAAAATTCTCTTTAAATTATTACACAATGGAGACTTAAAGTGGTCTGTTTTTCTTTAAATGAAATTATTCCCTCTGAATTAACATTGAGCTCTCAGAATTTCATTCCGCTTGGGATTATACACACAGATTATATATATATATATATATATATATATATATATATATATATATATATATATACGGACAAATCCATCATATATAATATAGGTAATTACTTTTTAATGAAACTGTATATATATATATATATATATATAATCCGACATTTTTATTTCTACAGAGGTTATTTTTGACGAATACCCATATTTGTAAAAAGACACCCGTTATTATTTTAAAAGAGTGTGTATTACATCTATTGGCCTGCGCATTCGAGAAATCTTAATAGAGGAAGCCCTGCCGGCAAACACGTTTTCTTGATTCAGATGTCTCAGTGTGCAGGCCGATAAATGTGAGGCACAAATTTTGAAATTATAACGGGCTGTCCATTTCAAACAGACTGCCGTAGCTTAGTGTTGATCTCAGTGTCCACGTTCATATATATATATATATATATATATATATATATATATATATATATATATATATATATATATACCCAAGTATATAATTGGTGTATACGGAAGGAATTCCAATAACCGACAATTACTATTCTTAAAAGAGTGCTCAATACAAAAGTAGAGCAGATATAATTATTTTTATAAAAAAAAATTTATAACATAAATATGTTATAAAATCCATATAAATCCAATCATTTTATAACATAAATATGTTATAATTTTTTTTTATAAAATATATATATATATATATATATATATATATAGATAGATAGATAGATAGATAGATAGATAATATTAGTGGAAAATATACATACATATGCAAAAATATATATAAAAATTCCCCATACATGTATATTTTCAAAAAAAAAAAAAAATTCCAAGAGGAAGGATCCAGGTAGAACTCAATGTCTAGGACAGAGTAAGGATATAATAAAAAGGCTTAAACACTAATATTCCATGGTCTTAATTTATTCCATTGGAATCGTAAATACGATCCAAATCATCAGACCTACAAATTCAAAATGAAAACAGATGTGAAAAGTGTATATAAATATAAATAAATATATATATGTATAATTATTAATATATTATATGCGCGGTACTTATTAGAAAGCGCTCAATATCAGAGATAGAGCTAACATATTTGGAGGGTCACAAACTCACATCTATCCAACCAAATATATATATATATATATATATATATATATATATATATATATATATATATATATATATATATATATATTTACCGGGTGTAACAGTACAATTGACTAAATCGCGTAACAGCAAAATTGTCCAAGTGTTTGATTTATCTGTGAACCGTTGCATCTTAGAAATGATCAAATATATCTTACTGGAATTCTCCGAGATTTTTATAATAACTATTGGACTCTACTTTGAACAATAAGAATGTATTTAGCTCTAAGTTAAAATGATGAACCCTCTTGCTATGGTGACCACTTGATCGAGTTATTGTCTCTACTGTTCTCTATGTTTTAAACTCATTTACCGTTCCATTGATGGTTCTTGAATGGACTTTGAAGATGCAAACCAGATTATATATGTTGATACAATCACTGAAGGCCCAAATGATCTTTTTCCCCCATACCATTGCTCAGTTAGTGTGGCTGACGCAAAATGATTTTAACCTGTTCTCTTTCTAGCTGAATAACTGAAAGGGTTTTTAAGTGATTCATATGACAAATGGTGTAAAGATGGCTTAATGTCTTATCTGAAAACCTGGAAAAAAGAAATTCAGTTCGTTTAGTGGTTTCTGAGATATTAAACATTTGTTGGGATGGACAATTATCCCATGTTGTTACATGACTTGGACAAATTTACTGTTACAGCCGGTAGATATAGAGAGGTTGATATGCAAATAAGGGTACCATTCGACCATTAGCATTGTAAGTAGAGAGGGTATTTACGCAAAATGATCTCGTATTTTGTTGAAACTTTTCTGTATCTCAGACACACACAGATATATATATATATTATTCATTATTATTATATATAGTGGAGTAATGGTTAGCGGCCCGGATTAAGGAATCGGAGAGCCGAGTTCGAATTCCAGTCGAATCCATTACATTCACTTACGTGCTAATACCCTTGGGGAAATAGCAGGACAGACTGTGTTCTATAGCCTTGGCAACTGGTTTAGATAGACAGAGGGTCATATTCGGCCCTTCAGAAAGTTTGGATGGTCTGCATAAAGGCCTTCACCTCTAATATATATATATATATATATATATATATATATATATATATATATATATATATATCCTCGGTAACGAAGAGATTCCAAATCAGACTCAACTTAGCGCCGCTCAATGAATTAATTAAATATAATTATCAAATCCTCCTACTAATTACTATCTGTGTTTATCATCGCTTGAACCGGCTTCTAATGCTCCAGTCGGCGCGGCTTGGTGAGAGTAGTCGTGGCTCCCGGGGGCACAGTCCTATGGTTACAGAGAACTCAGTAGAGTTCCGCCACGGAATATGTGAGCGAGCGGCGCTAAGTTGAGTCTGATTTGGAATCTCTTCGTCGCCGAGGCCCATTTGGTACAGTTGGTATGTTGTTCGCTTGTCAGGGTTTCGATACTTGGTGGTGGATGCGCACTGCTGATGAGTCCCAATTATAGGACGAAACGGCCGTCCAGTGCTTCCTCTATTCCTGTTGAGGTTTCTATCAGACTCAATGAATTCATTAAATATAATTATCAAATCCTCCTACTAATTACTGTATATATATATATATATATATATATATATATATATATATATATATATGTGTGTGTGTGTGTGTGTGTGTTTGTGTGTGTGTAAGTGTGTGTTTACACGAAGGGTGTTCCGATAGTAAGACTCGTATTTATTCCCAACGTTTCAAGGAGAATATTTGAGCCATTCCATAGATTAAGCTTATGAGCAGACTTAGATAGATAGATAGATAGATAGACAGACAGACACGAAGGAAAGGAATGAAGTATTGGATGGGAAAAACAGAAATAGACCAAATCAGACACTAACTTTATAATAACAAAGTTGTTTGAAGCGGAAACTTATTGCAACGAACACAGAAATACCTCTAAATTATTAATCATTGTCATACTATTTTAGAAAAGAATGTTTGCAAACTTTACAATATCTTGATCTTAAAATATCCGAATGTCTGCTGCTGGCAACTCCCGTGCAAACTTATTCGGCTAATTACAAAAATAATTAGAATAATCAGAAAAGGGTGAAATGAAATCAGACGATTTACACACGTCACTGTGAATTGAAATTCTTTTACTTCTCACCAGAAAACCTCCAGGAGCCAGTAAAGGAGAGCCTAAAGAAAGGACTAACTATCAATTGTAAGATGTCAGAAAATATGTTTTCCAGCAAAAGGAACCGCCCAAGATGCGAATTAGAAACAGGGAATGTTTTCAACAGAAGGAGGAAAATGTGGCACAGAAAGCGGAGTTGCATTGGAATATCGAAAGATGCCCTTCAAAAGTTAAGCAAAATATCAAGAAACATGAAAATATTCGTTAGAAACAAAGAAAAGATGACTAGAATGCTATGCGTTATCAAATAGATAGATATATAGATACTGACGAGGTAGTATATGTACTTATCTCTTCATGTACGTGTGTAAATAAATATCCACAACCCAACAAACACAGCCTAATAGTGAGAAATTTTCAGATCAAAATTTACCATTATGTATTAGATCTGAAATTTTCGCTGTATAACGTTCGAGCACTGAGATTAATATTCTCTAATGAATTAAATAGGAAACAACAAATAGACTTATTTTGAAAACTAATTATTTGTTCTAGAAATGAAATTGTTTCTTTTTTTTTTTCTTCATCTGGCTATAGATTTATTGATTTACCAACATATGTCGTGGCATAAAACTATTCAACGTTTTTGACATGCATTTGAAATACGTGCGTGAAATATCACACTCCGCCCCAAGCGAAACAGCGTCTTGATTGGGGTATCTTGACACAGTCAATCTCCGCCATGTTATTTGCTTTATTTCCTGTTTTCAGTTTTCATTCGTCACACATCGAACTTAGTTTGACACCAACCAAGATGCTTAATAAAAGCATGAAAAGGGAAAAGAAAGAAATGCAAAGAAAAGTACGCTTGTCAATATCTTTTGCTACTATTGTTAATCACCGTTATTTATAAGCGGCGGTGGAAACAGTTTCGTCTAAGCGTGATTTCTATTATAAGAATCTTTCATTACAGACATTAAACCAAGAAAGTTTCTGAAAGAAACAGGTATGAAATGGACTGGGTAGTGCCAAGAAAGGAAATTAAAAAAGCGAAAATGAAAACACGAGTTGCAACTGAGGATGCTGGGTCAATAAAATCGTAGCCTAACTCGAATTATTTCGCTGAATTATGACCTGAAATATTCACAGTATAATGCTCGATAAACAAGGAAAAAGATAATACAAGTCCAACTATATGTCAGGGAATGAACAGTGAGAAGAAAGGTTGGATTTGATAGGTTGGTTGATTTAATTGTATTTTACGGCTTATGAATCTTTTGCAGGTTATTTAAAGCGAGAAATTATTTTTTAGATTGTAAGAATCTTTTGGCGATAATGATTTACTGATAAGTTCTATTAATAGATAGCTAGCTAGATCGGAAATAATAGCTCTAGATAGATAGATAATATGAAAAACCCTAGATAGATAGATGTTAAAAAACGCAAGAGAGATAGATATAGATGTGAAAAATACGATATATATATATATATATATATATATATATATATATATATATATATATTATAGAGAGAGATAGAAAGTTGTGAATGACCCAAGATAGATGGATAGATAAATGCCCCAAACCATAGATAGATACATAGATAGATAACCATATATATATATATATATATATATATATATATATATATATATATATATATATATATATAGAGAGAGAGAGAGAGAGAGAGAGTTGAGAATGAAAAACCAAGACAGATGGATGGATAAATGCCAAAAACCATAGATAGATAGATAGATAGATAGATTGGAAGAGGTGGATTCATGCCTTTCTCAAGTTCATTTGCGCGTAAATGAATATAACGAATCCGATTGGAATTAAAACTTGGCTCTCCAATTCTGAGCCACACATCCATTCTTGGTATTCCCAAATAGTCACAAATCTAGGTACTGATCAGGCTCGACGTTGCTTAACTTCTGGGATCGTACGAGAACCGGTGTTTAAACATATGGCCGAAAGCAAAATACTGGCGGAAATACAGACGTGGTTCTACAGAAAAATTCTGAGAATTACATGGACAGAACGTGCCAGCAACAAACATGTCTTGAGAAAAATGTGAAAAAATGTAGATAGATAGATAGATAGATAGATAGATAGATGTGAAAAAACAAAGATAGATAGATAGATGTGAAAAAACAAAGATAGATAGATAGATAGATAGATAGATAGATAGATGTGAAAAACCAAAGATAGATAGACAGATAGATAGATGTGAAAAAACAAAGATAGATAGATAGATAGATGTGAAAACCAAAGATAGATAGATAGATAGATAGATAGATGTGAAAAAACAAAGATAGATAGATAGATAGTGAAAACCAAAGATAGATAGATAGATAGATGTGAAAAAACAAAGATAGATAGATAGATAGATAGATAGATAGATGTGAAAAAACAAAGATAGATAGATAGATAGATGTGAAAACCAAAGATAGATAGATAGATAGATAGATAGATAGATAGATAGATAGATAGATAGATGTGAAAAAACAAAGATAGATAGATAGATAGATAGATAGATAGATAGATAGATAGATGTGATAGATAGAAGATGTGAAAACAAAGATAGATAGATAGATAGATAGATAGATGTACAAGATAGATAGATAGAGATAGATAGATAGATAGATAGATGATGATAGATGTGAAAAAACAAGTATAGATAGATAGATGTGAAAAAACAAAGATAGATAGAGGGGAAAGAACAATAAAAAGAACACGAATCAATAAACAGAAAGTATAGATTGATATTATATTTAATTGTTTTCATGATCAAACGCCCTATCCACACACTTTCAATGCAGTGAACACGGGTATAGGTTTATCCCTTGTTTCCTGCTTAAGATTGAGTTTACTGTTCCTTCTAAAAGACTTCTCATTCTCTTTCACTCCCAGAAACACCTTGCATCTTAGTGGCATTATCGCCTTGTTTGGGGTGAAATGATTAGAAAATCAAGAGAGAGTTAGTTCCACAACCAAGAAGTGCGAGATAAAAAAAAAAGAACTGTTAGCATAGAACTTATTTATTGATTAAAGACATTTTTATGTTTAACGTTCTTTTTATAGATACAAGTATTTTAAGTAAATGCTCTGTTCATAATAAACAGTATTAAATAACATTTACCGGCCTGAATGTCCGAGAAATTTTCATAGAAAATATTCGTTCTTTGACAGGATTCGAATCTGCATCCTATACGGAACCGTCATTTACGCTGACGTGCCTTGACCGCTCGGCCACAAAGGATCGTTCGGTAGGCAAGGTCGAATTTACTGCTTATAAACTCCAATCTTCCATGAATCTCGTACATTCATAACTGCTCTGGCGTATCAAATGTAAACAAATGACGTCATATAATAAGAAATGGATAATGTCCGACAATTTATTTATTAAAGACATTTTTATAAAAAGAACGTTAAACATAAAAATGTCTTTAATAAATAAATTGTCGGACTTTGTCTATTTCTTAATATATAGAATTTATTGTTACATCTAGCAATTTCAACTGTAAAAATGATGAGACCTAGTTGCCCATCTAGTAATGCGTTTAAATTTATAAAGTTGAAATCCCAAAAGAGAAAAAAAACATCCGAACAATTGCCAAGAAACTATTTATAGAATAGAAGACAAGTTACAGCGGTGTCAAAGTAACTGAAGTCGAGATGCCAGGTCTGGACCAATAACGTTGCAGATTATTCTTTGAATTTTATCAAGAATCTCTAAATACACGGCAGAAGAACCACATCAGATGCGACAGCAGTATTCAATGCTTGGAGGAAATGTAGACTTATAAATATCTAAGACAAGTTTAGACGAGAAAAAAAACCCTCTTTAGCACGAAACAGTTAACCAACTTTCTAAATAATTCAATATAATCGTTCCATTTCATATGAAAACGAATTAATTAAGATCGGCTAAGACAAATATCCCATTCAGTACCACAGATTTGATTATCACTTTGTCTGTCATTAATCATTTGGTCTTGTCCTCTATTATCTGACGCACCGTGTATCTCTATTCAGAAGAAGGAGTAGTAGGAGGCATCACGGCCAGATAATGCCTTGGTTGTTTTTTTGATACAATTTAAAAGATGTGAAGACGAGGCAATTTAGAGGTCACATGTAGATACTGGTGAACACCCTCAGTCGTGTACTGTCTGAACGGACTTTTTTTTATATATATATATATATATCAAGTCACCCCAAGCAAGGCGACAACGAAGGGAAAGCATGCGACTAGAAGAAAAATTGATTATATAATCAAGCTGTTAACGTTTCAAATAACCAAAAAGTTTTGTGGGAAACTTGCCCCGGTACAAGAAAGAGCTATAACAGTTTGTGGTCTTGATAAGTTTAATTATCAGAAAAAAATGTTTTTTTTTTTTAAATATTTTTATATAAATTTCATACGACAGTAACACTAACTGTACGATCATTAAATTTCGAATGTTTCCTTATCAAGAAACGACGAATTTACACAATAACATTGTATCATTTGCAATGATTCGCTTGGATATAGTCATGTCTATTAAAAGACGAATTCTTTTGAGCACTCAGGATTGAACTATCGTATGATGTTTACCAACACGAGCATTTTTTCTGCATTTGACGTGTACTTTCCTTACAATGAAATGTAAATGCTTAAGATTGCTTAGTGCCAACGATAATTAGAAAGTATTTTTTTTTATAAAGAATAATGAAGTTTGTTTTATTTTTTATTATATTATTCTATTCCTTTCATTTTCTTAAAGAAATTACCATTATTTAAATTATTTTAAAGAAATTACCATTATTATTCGATTTAATAAAGATAATTCCTTTGGTCATTGTTATCTTTACCATATTCTATGTGACCGTCGTTTTCTTCCACATTCACGTGTCATCTGAAATCTCTCGCTGATCTGGAGTCTGCGAAAAGAAAAGGAAAAAGTAATTACCCTTCTTGCTCTTTAATTGGGCTCTCGATATTTCTCATCTGCCGATTTCATCGACTTCGTCTTTGGATTTTTATCTTCCATCTTTTCTGTCACTTGATGGGATTATTTAATCGATTTAAAAGAAAAGAAAATTCTTTTGGTTGTGTCTCTTTTAGTGAATGGCGTCTTAGCTTCTGCTTTTGGTCGCAGTTTCTTCGTTGGGCAAGCAAAACTATCCCCCCCTCTCTCTCCCTCTCTTTCTCTCTCTCTGTCTCTCTTTCTCTCCATCTCCCTCACTCTCTCTCTATCTCTCCCTCCCCCTCTCTCTCTGTCTCTCTTTCTCCCCCCTCTCTCTCCCTCCCTCTCTCTCTGTCTCTCTTTCTTTCCTTCTCCCTCACTATCTCTCTCCTCCCTCTCTCTCTGTCTCTCTTTCTCTCTCCCCGTCTCTCCCTCTCCCTCCCTCTCCTGTCTCTCTTTCTCTCTCTCCCCTATCTTCCTCTCTCTCCCTCTCTCTGTCTCTCTTTCTCTCTCTACCTGTCTCTCTCTCCCTCCCTCTCTCCCTCTCTCTATCCATCTCTCCCTCTCTCTCTGTCTTTCTCTCCCTCCCCGTCTCTCTCTCTCTCTCTCTTTTCAATAATTTTTGTTTTCTTTATTTTTTTACTTTTTTTGCACGTATTGCCCGTTTTAGGTCAAGTTTGTGACGGAATAAAAAATGTCTGACCAATAAATTGGTTTTATTTTTATTTCTAAACGTTTTTTCTTTCTTCCTTGTTTTATGTCTACATCCAAGCTTTTTCTGTAATTTTCAGATGGACCATTTTACAATTATCTGATCACATTCTTACTGTTGAATTTTTCTCGATCCAATGCCCTCTCTCTCTCTCTCTCTCTCTCTCTCTATATATATATATATATATATATATAGAGAGAGAGAGAGAGAGAGAGAGAGAGAGAGAAAGGGTGAGATGGGTAAATTGTCGCCATCTTATATTTTTAATTTCGCACATGTGCGTTGTTTGTTTTTGATTTTGTCGACTTCACACTATAGTAGGGTCAGTTGGGCAGCGTCTACGAGAAACAAAAAGCACCACGACGCGATTTCCTCCGTCAGAAATTTCGAAATGGCATGCTGTACTGCTTGGCATTCACACCGGAAACTCCAATACGAACATTTCAGTTTGTTTGGATGTCAATCTGAGGAGAGTGCAGAAGATTCGGAAAGATTCGGTTAGAAGAGTCTAATGTTGATTACAAAGGTGTTTGGAGTGATCCCCAGTGATAGCAAAGTTATGCCTTCATTCATCTTCACAGAGGGCCTCAGACTCAATACGGAGACCTACACCAAGTGCCTTGAGGGTGTAGTGCTGTCTTGGGTCAAGAGGGTGTCTGCCAGAAGACTCTTTGTCTGGCAACAGGACTCTGCACCATGCTACACAAGCAAGCGAACTCAGTTATGGCTGTCAGGCAATTTTTGGGAACACTTCACCCCTTACATCTGACCATCTACCTCCACAGACTGCAAACCCCTTGGTTCTTATGTATGGGACACAGTTTAGCGAGAGATAAAAAAAAAACTCCTTTTAACACCAAAGATGAATTGAAGGCAAGGATTATGGCAGCATTCACCAACTTAAACAAGAAGACCGTCCAAATTTGTTGCAGAAGATTCCGATGTCGTTTGGAAGCTGTGGGTGAAGCCAATCGAGATTTTATTAAATAAGTTTACTCTTTATTATTTCAAGATATTGTAGTGTAATTTTCGTAAATATTTCTGTTAAAATGAGATGTGAGTGTTATTTTCATTTTTGCGTAATTTAGACGACAATTTACCCATCGCACACAGTGTGTATGTGCTTGTGTATATGTGTGGGTGTGCGTTTTTCTACATGCATTTATAAGTTTATGTGAATTCATTATTTGAAATATATATATATATATATATATATATATATATATATATATATATATATATATATATATATATATATATATATTGGTATGGTTTGGTTTGTTTTACGGCATATCAACCTCAATGGGTTATTTAATGCCGACTATTTTTTTATTGCTGGTAATTTTTTTTTAAATGTATTGCTGGTAATATTTATTTTCTTCTCAAATGTATTGCTGGTAATAATTTTTCATTCAAAAAAATTATTGTTGGTATTAAAACCTATTTTTACACTTGCATAGGGCTTTAACTCCACTTTAGGGGTTAACTATTTGCCCATAGTTGGGACCCTAACAGCTGCTACCACTTCGGATCAGGGTGGACTTGGGAACACCAGCAATTAAGAGGTGCTTCCACGCTCCTCAAAACCTCCTGCTCAGAGGCCTTGCTGTTGGACGTAGTCTTATCCAGGAACCGGATGTAGTTTATCGTCATATCCAGGACATATATATATATATATATATATATATATATATATATATATATATATATATATGTAGGTACCCCCTTGATAACGAAAGAAAAAAAACAGATTTCTTCTGTAAGTTATTTTAAGTATCACTTGAGAATGAAACTGTACTCTAAATCTTAAATTGAATATTGAAATTAAACTTTAGGAGTTGAGTAAAGTTTGAAACATAGTAAATTTTGTGTCGCGATGGAATCATATTTTAAAAAATAAAAATAATTATAATATATATATATATATATATATATATATATATATATATATATATATATATATATATATATATATATATATATTATAATATATATATATATATATATATATATATATACTTAAACATAAAAATATTTAAAATATCTATAAAAATATATATATATATATAAACATAAAAATATATATATATATATATATTTATACATATACATATACATATTTATATG